GCACAGGACTTGCATAGCATTCCAGACAAGAGCTGCTGCCAAATAAGGACCTGAACCTCTCCCAAGACCATCAGCTGCGCCCTGGGTAGAATTAGACACACACACACACACACACACACACACACACACACACACACACACACACACACAACACACCGCTCACCTGTCTGCTCTTCTGCCCTCCCCTCCACCTTTCTGGAATGTCTTCAGTCTCACAGATTTAAAAACAAAATGGCACCAGTGGAGTTCAAGGGTTGGACACAGGCCAGTGTTTTACTAGTAGCTTCTCCTTCCAGCTCCACCCCACTGAGTCGCAGAGGTGTACACAGGAGATAGGTACACCTCGGAACCGCCCCCCATCTTTACCCCCAGCCCTGCCCCACCACAGCCCGGCACTCCCTGACCCCTGAGTGTCCAGCGCCCCCTCGCCAGGGCCTTAGAGGATCTCTGAAGCACACTGACTGCTCTCTGCAGTCCATGGGCAGAGCCAGGGGGCTGAGTGGAGGAGCGCTTGTCCAGCACACACGGGGCCCTGGGTCCCCAGCTGTCAACAGCAGAGGCATGCTAGCATCCCTCCCTGCCAGGAATGAGTCATTGTTAAAATTGTTCACAGTCCTGACAGGGTTCACATGTTAAACTTAACTCCTCTCTGTCTCTCCTGCCATGCTGACCCCCAGCTCGTAGGGACACTAGGGTGATAAAATTAATAACATCACACCCCTATGGTACACATGTGTGTTTCAGAATAACAGTGCTAGCTCTGCTGTGGATGAATGGTTATCGAAATATTTTTGGGTTTGTCACTTTGCTTTGTCCTCTGTCCTCCACGGATCTCCCAGGAGGATGCAGTCAGGTCCCTGTGGGAATTGCTGAGGCAGTCCTCTGGGAGCCCTTGAGTTCATCCACCAATTGAGCAAAATTGTAAACCCCCCACCCACCCACCCCACAAAAAAAAATTCAAGCTTTTAAGTGAAATTGGAATTTGGGAAAACTTGTGTCTACCACCTTGAGCAGGACACCTTCCCAACAGTTAAAGGCTTCCAAGAAGAGAGGTAAAATGAATGAATGTGACATTTTTAGCATTTAATGGTGAAGTATGTCAACATTTGGAAGAACTGATAATCTCAGTGAACCCATTTTCCAAATGACCAATGTGTGATGTTACAGCAAGATCATTCCTGGGCCAGAGACCCACTTACAGTACCAGGCAAGGCTGGGTGTGGCTGGGTGGCAGAGCCCTTGCAGGCCCTGCGATCCTTCTGCAGCATAGCCACCCACACACCACCACCACCAAACCCCAAAAAGACAAGTACAAGGCAGCCCAAAG